TGAAAAGGACTTGTGATGTATTAGCTCACATCTTTCAAATGAAGCATTTTTTTGGACTTGAGCATAAATACAAAGTTGTGCAGAATTGAATTTCATTCAAAATAGGCTTTGGTTGGGGAAAAGTTGATGAAGCATGTTAAAGTTATGCTTGGTCAAAGTTCAGTTGACTTCTCCTAAGGAAAACCTAATTTGGCAATTTTTTACCTTTGATGATTTGAGGGCTTTCCTTGAGGAATCATCATAAAACCTTGATCAAGTTATGAATATCAATTTAAAATTTTGAAGGGGACCAAAACTCTTGAAGTTTGACTGTATATTGACCATAGTTGACTTTTTACCCAATACAGTTGATTTTTAATCATCTGAGCCATTGACTGAGCAAACTTGTGATGCAAGACTTGAAACTTGACATGAACATTGTTTAAGACCTATGGAGAACCATGAAAACCATTTGAGACCTTTGAAAACCAAATTCATTGAGGAAACCAAAACCCTAGTTGTAGACCCCTTGCTTAGGAGGAGGTTTGACTGGTCAACTCTTGAGTAGATTTGAGTACTTGAGACCTTTGTGAGCATGTCTTGAAGATAAATGGGAGGAACATTTTTTGGGTACAACATCCATCAATTGTCTTTATGTTCATCCAGTTACAGATAATGTTTGATCAGCAATAAAGTACTTAACTCTACATTTAAAGTCCATAGTGGTTTTTGGTCGAAGGGTGGTATACACCATTATCACCATGAGAATAAGTTATGACACCTTGCATAATGTTCTATGTAGTATTCTCATAGTGGGTCAATCCAGTATAAATATTACTCCTAATATTCATACCTATGTCAAGACTTGATAACTCCTTATCCATGATCTATGAGGTGTGATCATCAGTCTATCTTTATAATAATCTCAATACTTTAATGTTATCCCACTTCACAATAAAGCTCGACTACAGATACTTTAAGAATAGTGCTCTTATGTTTAATGGGATCTCATGATTAACTCACACTTAATATTTCATTAAACATACGAACTATTCTAGGGACTTTATTATTTTGGAAAAGCAAACATAATAAAGAAATGTCTTTTATTATTAATAAATAATTTGATACAAGTACCAAAAGTATTGGCCTCTGGGGCTTACACCAACAATCTCCTACTAGCACTAGAGCCAATCAAGCATACCCCTAATACCCATAGATCTAGTATGGCTATCATGCTTCTGCTATGCAAGAGACTTTGTTAGTGGGTCAACAACATTGTCAAGTGTAGGTACTCTACATATCTTCACATCTCCCTGATTAATTATCTCTCGAATGAGGTGATAATGTCTAAGTATATGTTGGGATCATTGGTGAGATCTAGGCACCTTAGCTTGTGCGATAGCACCATTGTTATCACAATAGAGATCAATGAGGTCCATAATGCTTGAGACTATGTCAAGTTCACTAATGAACTTCTTGATCCAAACAACTTCCTTTGCTGCATTTGAAGCATCAATATACTCGGCTTCGATTGTAGAATCAACAATTGTATCTTGCTTTGAACTTTTCCAGCTCACAACGCCACCATTTAAACAGAACACATAACCAGATTATGATCTAAAGTCATCCTTATCTGTCTGGAAGCTAGCATCGGTGTATCCAATTACATCAAGCTCTTCCTGACCTCCATATATCAAGAATGAGCCCTTAGTCCTTCTCAAGTACTTAAGGATATTCTTGACAGCTACCCAATGAGCATCATCAGGATCAGATTGGTACCTACTCGTTGCACTTAAAGCATACGAGACATCTGGTCGAGTACATAACATGGCATACATGATAGATCCTATTGCAGATGCATATGGAATCTTACTCATGTGATCCATTTCTTCCTTAGTTGAAGGGGATTGTGTTTTTGATAAACACATGCCATGTTGCATAGGTATGACCCCTTTCTTGGAATCATGTATATTAAAGCGTCTCAACACTTTGTCTATGTATGTACTCTGAATTAGGCCAAGCTGCTTTTCTGATCTATCTCTATGGATCTTGATTCATAATATATAGGCTACTTCACCTAGGTCTTTCGTAGAAAAGCATTTCCCCAACCAAGTATTTACTGGTTGCAAGGTAGGGACATCATTTCCAATGAGTAATATGTCATCTACATATAATATCAGGAAAACAATCATGCTCCCACTAACCTTCTTGTAGACACAAGGCTCATCTTCATTCTTTATGAATCCATATTGTTTTACTATTTCATCAAAATGAAGATTCCAGTTTCTGGAAGCTTGCTTCAATCTATAGATTGATCGCAGTAACTTGCATATCTTTTGGGCTTCATGTGGTATGTCAAATCCTTAAGGTTGTGTCATGTACACATCCTCAAGAAGATTCCTATTAAGGAAAGCAGTCTTTACATCCATCAACCATATTTTATAATCATGATATGCAATAATAACAAGTAAAATCCGAACAGATTTAAGCATTGCAACTGGTGAAAGGTTTCATCATAGTCAACCCCATGAATTTGTTTATAGCCTTTTGCAACCAGTCTTTCCTTATAGGTATGTACCTTACCATCCATGTCTTTCCTCTTTTTAAAGACTCACTTGTATCCTATAGGGTTAACTCCTATAGGAGGTTCTACCAAGGTCCAAACCTGGTTTGTGTACATGGAATCCATTTCAGATTTCATGGCTTCTAGCCACTTCTCAGACTCAGGACCAGTTATGGCCTCTTGGTAGGTCACATGATCATCTTAATCCATGAGCAATACATCACCTTGATCACTTATGAGATATCCATATCTATCAGGTTGGTGGCGTATCCTATTTGACCTACGCTGGTCTTGTTCTACTTGAGCAGGTTGCTCTTCCATAACTACTTGTGTTTCCTACTCTAATTCCTCCATAGGTGTATCAATGCTTTATTATTCTTGAATTTATTAAAGATCTACCTTCCTCCCACTGATTCCTTTGAAAATAAAGTCTTTTTCAAAGAAAACTCTAGTTCGAGCAACAAACACTTTGCCCTCAGAAGGATTGTAGAAGTAATATCCTCTTGTTTATTTAGGATACCCCACAAATAAACATTTGTTAGATTTGGGCTCAAGCTTAAGATTTGTCGTTTCACATAAAATTCACAACCCAAAATCTTCATGTAAGACATATGTGGTTTCTTAGCACTCCATATCTCATATGGTGTCTTCTGAACCTTTTTGGGTGGAACACGGTTAAGTGTGTAAGCTACTATCAATAGTGCATGTCCCCAAAAGGAGTTTGGAAGATTGGCATGACTCATCATAGATTGGACCATGTCTAACAAGGTGAAACAACCGGCTGAAAATCATCAAACAATGAAGTCGCCATCAAACGTCTTTTATCCCACATGTAGGGAAAGGTAAACATCGAGAAAACCTGAGAAGGGAGAAGTCACGGTCTTGCGACCGAGAGATCGGGTAAGGGAGTCTGTTACGCGAGGGGAAGGTATTAGCACCCTACACGCCCGTAGTACTCTACGGTATCCACTCTTGTTATCTATCTTATGGGTGTGTTTAATCTATGCTTATTGTTTATCATTGCTAAGGGAAAATGCATGCAAAAGAAAGGAGAAAAAGAATGTAGGGAAAATAAAATTGTGCTCGCCTGGGCCCTACCCCAATGCCTATGTATCCTTTTTGAGGAATCAGAGCTACCGTAGTTCGGCTCATATGTTTTTGTTTGTTTTGTGTTTTTTGTGGACGAAGTTAATCCCGCCTTCTGCCGCAGCTCGACCTTTGGAGACTTATGCGTTGGCACAGAAGTAAATTAATCATGTCTTTCCCTGAAAAGGGTTTAGAAGAAAAGGTGCTCGAGCGCACAAAAGATTTGAGTTGGTTTGTATTTTTGTTGTAGATGATGACTGATTGACCTCAAGAGAGAGATATTAGCCATTTTCCTACTTAGTCATGAAAGGAGTTTTTGAGAATTGAACCACACCTATGCTTGAGATGAAGAACAATAAGATCGAGAAGAGACTCGCTTATCATTTCCCGTACTAAACAAAAGCATGATTCTCATCAATAGTTTTAAAGTATTTTGAATTTCGAAAAGAAAGGAAGTTTTAGTTTTAGGTGCGAATGCAAAAGGGAAAGAAAAGTTAAAGGGGAATTAGCCTATTTCTAAACTTGATGTTATCATGCATGGTTAGACCTAAAGTTAGGATGAATGAGGGAATTCTACCTAATGTTAGCATGCATATGGTTTGCGATAACGCCCTATTTCTCATGATTTCTATAAAGTGATAACGAATTACAATAAAATGAAGAGAAGTGTAAGAGTAGAAGCGGAGGCTACCAAAGTGAGCAAGTCGTCAAGAGCGAATCGAAAGTACTGAAAAATCAAGGAGTACGCGTCGAGCAAGCTTCACCAAGAAACAAACAGAGTCAGAAACAATATTTAACTAAGATAAAAGCCAACGCGTATTGCAAATGCAAAGCATAATCAGAAATTCCTCGCACAATGAACAAACGTATCAAAAATAACGAGGCACAACATAAGAAAATATGAATAAAAACTAAAAGAAAAAGTATTTTTATTAGTTTTTTCGTGGGGAAAATTCTATTGAAGACTAAAGAATTAACTCCTAAATTTTATTTAAGAAATTTTAACAAGTCTTTTTTTTATTGAGTTTATAATTTTATTAACATAAAAACATTAAAATTAAAAAGTAAAAAAAAAGAATGAAATTAAAAGAAAGTCATAGATTAACTCCAGGGATATAAACTGAATTCAGGATGTATGGCTTAGTAAGGACGCTAGGCCCAACTGGTTGAGTCCACGACTAGTTTTTGTTTTGCTTACAAATTAGTTCCAAAAAACGGTTCGCGGGCTAAAGGGAGGTTAACAAAGTACTCAGGCCCAACAAAGTTATTTGGATCTAGGATTTTATTTTATTATAATTAAAAGGAAATAATAAATAAATAAATAAATAAAAATAAAAAAATAAAAAAATGAAATTGAATTAGGAGTAGGGTTTTAGAGAAAAGGTTCAGATTCTTGTTTCCTTTCCTCTCTCGCGGCGTACACCTTCGCCTTTGGCTCATACTTCGAGTAAACAGTTTTGGCCAATCCAGAAGCCGATTCAACCACTCCGGCACGGTGGACTTCGGTCACAACAGATCTAGCTTGAGTCGAAACCTTCTTGACGTTGGTAGGAACATGACGATCCAGTTCAGAAACGGATTCATCGACCTTGCGATCGACGTATTTGAGAAGCTCCACGGGGACTTGGTGGAATTTGTCGTAGACTGGACCGATGACGGTTTTCACGGCTTCTTCAACGGTGTCGACGCTGGTTTGTAGTGGACCGGATCGTTCTTTCGCGTAGGAATAGAGGATCGCGCATCGCTTCAAGGCGTGGATCGTTGCGAATTGCACGAATTGAAGATACTTGAGTTGTTGCACATTTTGATTATTGTTAACGTTCTCTCCAGCCAGTTGTTGTTGCGGTTGAAACTCGGATTGAGCTTCGGCGGTCATGATCGGAAAATTGATCGGCGATGATTTAGTAGTTTAGGTTTCAGGGAAATTTTGGGAATTTACCGTGGAGTTTTGGAAGATGAAGATGAAGATGAAGATGAGAGAAGAAGATAAAATTTCTGTAGTTTTTTGGATGTGATTCTTCTGCAAACTCCAGAATGAGATGATTGAGAGGTAATAATTTCTTTTTTCTGTTGAAATCGTATCCCTCTGTCTATCTCATTATATATATGCTGTGAGCTTTATTATGTATATGCTGGTAGTTTGTTAGAGTTGGTTATTGATCAAAGGTGATGGTGAAAGTTGGTTAGAGGTTGGTTAAGTTAGTTATGAATCTGGTTAGAAAGTTAAGAAAAGTTGTTAGGTTATAGTTATAGAGGTTGGGATTACTGAGATATGGTTTTGGATATTTGTGAATTCACCTTTTTTTGTTAGCTGTTCTATTTTGTTATATACAACTCTGTAAAAGTTAGTTTGAAATCAGTTATTAGTTTTCTTTTTTGTTAGAAGTTAGTTGGCTGGAATTTGGTTAGGGGTTGTTAGAGAGGTTGTTATAACAGTTTTGGTTGTTGTTAGTTATGCTGTAACTATTCTGTTTTGCAGTGTTATTGAATGTTAGTTATGCTGTAACTGTTTTGGGTTGGTTTTGGTTAATTGAGATATGGTTTTGGATAGGAAGTTTGTTAGGAAATGTTTTATGAAAAAAATTATGTTTTTGCCTTTCATTATGCAGGTCCTTTTTGTTAAGCTGGGATTCAATTACAGGGCGGTTTTGAAAATGGTTGGGAGGTTTAGAAATTGTTAAATGGTTGTTTGACAGTTGGTTATGGTTTTGAAAACTGTTAGAGATTGGTTAAAGGTTAGTTATGGGTTGTTAGAATGTTTGGATTGCCGCTTCTGCTGAAACTGATATGGTATGCTTGGTTTTATGCAGGTTCAGGAGGTACAACAAGGTAGCGTATTTATGGTGGCATAAGTGTACTTTTTAAGGGTAAATCAAATTGGACAGCAGGACAACGAGGCATAACATCATAGGCAAGTTTGGTTATGTTTGGATGCAGTCCCCGTAGCATGGTTTGTATTTTATGAATGGAAAACCTTACATGATTTTATATTGTTTGCTTTGTGTAGGTCAATATGTGAAGGCGTAGCATGATATTTGAATGCAAGGCGGTTGACGAAGCAAGGAGTTTAGACACAAAGGCTAGTGAAGATGAAAGCAAAGCTTTGGCCATGGAGTTGATGAAGGTGAAAGCGAAAACATGGTTGAAGCTTAAAGTTAGGTGAAGGTTGTAACATAGAACCTTTGGCCATAAAGAGTGGAGCACGAATATTAGATAAAGGTTGAATATGGAATCACTAGGCTTAGGATGAGTGTTAAGGTTTAGGAATGGTTATTTCATATTATTTTTTGATGTAAAGGACATGTAACAGAGAAATACTTAGTTGTAATTGTTTTTATGGAATGAACACGGTTTGGATGTCATTGATGAATCTTGTTTAAATTGGTTTGATGCTTGAGTGAGATCAAATAGACGGTGATATATTCGAACACAGCATGATAATGCTTGGGTGAATTGAACTTGAATTTTTATGAATGATTTGGATCCCGAATGAGTTCGAAATTGACGATGAAAGGTATAGAATTTTTGGAATATGGACTTGAAAAATGCTTTGCAATTTGAATTTTACACTTTACTTGTTGCTTGTATTTCAAGCAAACCACATGACTGAACCTTCCAAATTTAGCATGAGCCAAATCCAAACTTATGTCCTTGAATAGGTTGAATTCATGGAATCACTTGAATGAATGAATTAACACATCCGAATTCCATGCATAAGAACCTTAATCCTTTTGAGATGTACTTTGGTGACTGAATGATACCGAGATATTGATAAGAAACCAAGTTTTAACTCAAAATATCTTTGTCTAAATCCTTGATGAAACCCTAGCATTCACACTCTTAATGCACTTAGTTCTTGAAGTAACTTCGATACAAACGACTGTATCCCTTGATGAACTTGGGGGAAGATACCCTTATAGCCTGATAAGAAATAAGTCCACAACAACCACGAATCAAAATTCTATCCCCAACCATGAATATTGAAGAAGCAGCTCGAATCTCTTGAATGAAGATAAGAGCCTCAAAGCCATATGGGAACCCTAATTTTCAAGACCCTTGATCACGTGCCAAAAATGTTGTTAGCGAATGTATGCAATGTTAAATGACCTAATGGAGTTATGTACATGAAAAGTGCGACAATGCATAAACCAGATAAAAGTAGAAGGGTAGGACAAATTTGGGGTATTACAGCTGCCCCTAATTAATCGTCTTAAACCTGAAAGTACGATTGGCACATGCCTTTCGGAAGTTCAAGGTTGAAGATGATTAAACATCAATGCCAAAAATTTGTCCTGAGGGAGAAAGAGTGTTTTCTTTATTTATGTGTTATCTGCTGGGGGAAAGAAATTTGTTTTTTCAATGAAGAGACAAAGATTGGACTTGTAACGTGGCTTGATGCCAATACAAGACAAATGGTTGGTATGAGAAGACAGCGGACGAGGTCTACGGGCGACCTACGATCCTAAGGTGACACATGAGAGTGATTTGACAGGGAACCTAGCCAAAGGGCGATCTCAGGTTCGACGATGATTTGAAGGAAGAACCTAGCCAAGAGGCGATCTCAGGTTCGACGATGACTTGAGGGAGGAACCTAGCCAAGAGGCGATCTCAGGTTCGACAAAGGTTTGAAGGAAGAACCTAGACAAGAGGCGATCTCAGGTTCGAAGAAGGGAACATGGGTTATGACGTGATGATTGTTTAGATAAGCGATACGAACGAGCATCAAGAAATGTCTAAACAAGGACGAGTGTTTGAATCAATACGGACGAGTATTGAAAGAAGATATAGGCGAGTATCCAAGGTTAAACACGGACGAGTGTTTGAATCAATACAGACGAGTATTGAAAGGAGATACAGGCGAGTATCAAAAAGTATAAACACGGACGAGTGTTTGATTCAATACGGACGAGTATTGAAAGAAGATACAGACGAGTATCAAAAAGTTAAACACGGACGGGTGTTTGATTCAATACGGACGAGTATTGAAAGAAGATACGGACGAGTATCAAAAGGTTAAACACGGACGAGTGTTTGAATCAATACGGACGAGTATTGAAAGGAGATACAGGCGAGTATCAAAAAGTTAAACACGGACGAGTGTTTGATTCAGTACGGACGAGTATTGAAAGAAGATACGGACGAGTATCAAAAGGTTAAACACGGACGAGTGTTTGAGTCAATACGGACGAGTATTGAAAGGAGATACAGGCGAGTATCAAAAGTATAAACACGGACGAGTGTTTGATTCAATACGGACGAGTATTGAAAGAAGATACTGACGAGTATCAAAAAGTATAAACACGGACGAGTGCTTGATTCAATACGGACGAGTATTGAAAGAAGATACAGGCGAGTATCAAAAGGTAAACACAGACGAGTGTTTGAATCAATACGGACGAGTATTGAAAGGAGATACGGACGAGTATCAAAAGTTAAACACGGACGAGTGTTTGAATCAATACGAACGAGCATTGAAAGAAGATACGGACGAGTATCAAAAGGTAAACACGAACGAGTGTTTGAATCAATACGGACGAGTATTGAAAGGAGATACGGACGAGTATCAAAAGTTAAACACAGACGAGTTTTTGAATCAATACGGACGAGCATTGAAAGAAGATACAGGCGAGTATCAAACACGGTCGAGTGTTTGAATCAATACGGACGAGTATTGAAAGAAGATACGGACGAGTATCAAAAAGTTAAACACAGACGAGTGTTTGAATCAATATGGACGAGTATTGAAAGAAGATACGGACGATTATCAAAAAGTATAAATACAGATGAGTGTTTGAATCAATACGGACGAGTATTGAAAGAAGATACGGACGAGTATCAAAAAGTTAAACACGGACGAGTGTTTGATTCAATACGAACGAGTATTGAAAGAAGATACGGACGAGTATCAAAAAGTTAAACACGGACGAGTGTTTGATTCAATACGGACGAGTGTTTGATTCAATACGGACGAGTATTGAAAGAAGATATGGACGAGTATCAAAAAGTATAAACACAGACGAGTGTTTGATTCCATATGGACGAGTGTTTGGAATAACTGACCCGGATGGGTGCTTAGGAAACTTGACACATACGAGTGCTTAGGAATGGACACTGACGGGTGTTTAGGGAACCGACTACCAGACAAGAACTGGGTTTAGAACGGCGAAGTGTATTGATTTTGTTTGGCATTGGAAATGTGAAGGTCATCGACTGGGGATTTCGGGCATGATACCCTTCTGTAGGGATGTATTGTTGTCCTTGAATAATTCAGGTTTTTCGTGTAAGGTACCTGGTCTGGCTTATGCTTTGTATGCATGTTTGAATTTCTTTTGACGCAAAGATCCACTCTGATGGATCAGCTACGCGCTTTTGAGGATGAAATGTTATGCAGTGATAACTATATGCAATGCGAAGAAATAAACTTCATGGGGATAAGAGAAGGCTTGCTGGGAACCATTGCTCATCACTGGGGATGTTAGTACGTATCGACGTTGGAAGTCTGCAGTACCAAAGATTGATGGGGGTACCGATAAAAATTTGCACTGGGGAGCCCATGATACCGAGGATTGTTGATGACTCTGCTGAAGACTGAATTGCTGACGAAGCGAGTCTTTAGGTACACTGCTGGATTCTGAATCGTACCGTTGGGAAGAGATAACCTGGCCAGACTTCCAAACATCCTGAACTGTTGAGGGGGTGATATAAGTGAATATGCCGAAGAATGGATATTGAACACCATGTGGATCCCTCAGAATACATGTCCCAAGTTTACGCACACTGGGGAATTTCCTCTTGAATCACTTGGGGAATCAGAGATGGGCATGGACACTTACGAGTGCCCCGGTTTAGCTCTGCGAATGCCTCGGTTTAGCTCTG